ATGCGAGATTGAATGAAAAAATGCGACATTGAATGAAAAAATGCGAGATTGAATGAAAAAGTGCGAGATTGAAGGAAAAAATGCGAGATTGAATGAAAAAACTGTTCGGACAATGCATTTTCACAGAAATTTAATTTTGCAAAACCTTTGAGATTTACAGCTGTTAGTTTCTGTCTCTAATTCAGTTTTTTTTCATATTGAACGCCATTCAGCAGTTTGATGTCGTGTATGTAGCACATTTTACAGACGTCTGCGAATCCTTGCATTTCGCATTGAATTTCTTAAATCGCATTTCGTCATTTACTGAATTCTAAAGAGGATCAACATCGAAATTCGAGACGAATCATATCCTTCCTTTGAAAAAATATTTTGAAAGGGACAGATTGATTGATCCATCCGTAACTGACTCTGACGTAGAAAACTTCCTTTGTTTCAGCCGATAGCTTGGCAGTTGGCAAAGTGGACGCAGATATCCTTTGAGGATCGATCTTCGATGTACTCCTGCGGTATTCAAAGGCAATGCTCGACACTGTTCAGTTGTACGATTTTGATTGCAATATATGCTGAAGCTTTTGCGATAGATATAATGTATATATGTGAATATTAGTTGACTCATTTGCAAGGTGTGAATATTTGACGAGGGTACGGGATGCTTTGGCTTCGACACTCGCCGTTACGCTTCATCAAGAGCTAAGGAAGCTTTTATGTTTCGGATTTGCCTTTGTGTGCCTGAGCCGAAACAATGAACCTTTCACGAGGAATACTCTTGCACCAAAAATCGTTCGGTGCTAAATTATCTCGTTTAAGACTAATTCCAATCAATAATTTTCGAATAACACGTGTACATATCACTATCACTCGAATTTTCATTATTTCATCGTCAGTTTATGTGTGTTCGTCTAATATGTATTTGAAAAATGATCTCATTGTTAATGTCCGGACGCTGTCTGCACAACGAAAACACCTAAAATATCTGCATTCTCAGAGTATTCTTCGACTCTACTTTAGGCTAGTCAAACAGAATTCCCTAATCAGTTGGCATTTTGAAGTATTATATGGACTTCACGCACAGTAACTGTAACAATAACAATAATGATATAACAGAAACAATAGTAATAGCAATCAGTATCAATATTTATGATAATAATGGTGATAAACTCTCATAGAATAATATAGTAACAAACGATCGATAACGATCAAATATTTTGCCTCATTGTTCAGATGCAGCAAGTCAAATTCAGTGCATTGAACTACAACAAAACGATTTTCATAAGCATGAACTGTTCAGCATACTCCCAACGCCACACACGTACTGTTACCATTGTCACCAGCCTCGAGTCCTTGCGAAATTTTCACAACGTTTTGTTCAACCTATTTTCGGCATTCCTTGTTCTCACCACCCCAAACATTGTTCGAACAGTTGTTGCTGAATTAAGCTGCAAATAGTCTGATCCTGAGGTAATGTGCTGACTAAAGTAGGACGTGTTTGCTAAGGCTGTCGTTGATCATTCATTAATTTCCATTTCATAAACAGACAATAATGTTTTTAATCCGGGAAATTGTAGCATTCTCGGAAACAGGTAGTGAATGATCAACTGGTTGAATTGCTGAAATATAACAAACTATGATTCTCCTCAATTTTCCCTTCATTACCCGTACGAATGACCAATGGATTTTGCAAAATTTCACAAAATGAGTAGATGCTGAAAAAGAAGTGAACGGACGATACCTTTAGCTGAAAGGCATCAAGAACTGCAAGGTTCTAGCCTTCATCTTCGATAACTCCATTGGTTACTGTATATCAAGTTATCAGATTCACCGAACCGTAAATCAGATACGCAAACCAGTAACAAGAGAAACAATTTTGCAACTATCGTTCCGTAAACTTAACTGGAATTCAAGCATTGAGACACTGAAACGAACTATTTCTTCAAAATCAATTACCGTAGAACGTTTTGTGCTTAATCACATCAAAACTAATCAGTACAACGGTGCACATAATCTCCATTCGGTTGACATTATCGAAAGTCTTGTTGAAGAAACGAAGCGCATAACTGATTGGAAATCTCAGAAAAATATAATTGATCTGCGTGAATATCCTTGTATATCTCTCAATAATGATCAATGCGTTGTTTCTATTGAATTTTCATGAAGTTGACAAAGAACTGATCTCGAGATCAGCACTTTCGGACTTCGTTCCAAGATAGAATCAGGACATTACTAAAGTGGTTAATTCGTTGACAACTTGAGCACAAGCAGCTCAAATTATGCTGAAGCAGAAGCGAAATCAACTGATGATTGCAAATCAGCTACTTTCGATGAATGGATGAGGTTTGAGTATTGAGTCCTGGGTCACTAAACTGCCACATAATTCCAGATAGTAGAGCACTGAACAGTTTGAACTCGACATTAGCACTTCAAATGTAGTCCTCAAAAACATGGAATAGAAGCTAGTAATACGATACTCTTATTGACATTTTTATAGTTTTGAAGATGTTCCATTGAATGCACTCCGTTCGTTTGGATACATTCAAAAGTCGAGTAATGTAAAAGTTCTTGATGAATGCTACTGAATTGAAGTGTTCGAGAAGATTTCAGCGTTCTTGACTTGTTGAATTTATAAGATAAACATTCTATTGTTGATTATATAAAGCCATATCGCTAACTGCATACTTTTTAGTTCGCTGACTACAATATACTTTTTAGTTTGAGATAAATTGTAGCTATTTGAAATGTCTGTGATAATCAACTGCACTTCTCTCATCAAAAAAATTGAACTTCTACTGAAATTCAGTTGAAATTTGAGAAGTTTTGTTCCTGTTCGTTATTCTTTTCATAAAAAAGATATTTTTTCTATCAGTTTACTTTATTTCGTTGAAATATGATGGGATTATTATTAGTGCTCACAATCAGAGCACTAATAATTCTTTGTGACGGTGGTATTCTTTGTGAATAAATTGTTAGCAACTCGTCGGTCATGTTGATCTCAAATGTATTGATCAAGAATGATTCATTGTGATTGTAAATGGAACTCTGAAGTGCATCATGTGGTCTTCTTCTTGTTTGTTTCTCGATGCTACAGAATCCTCTTCGGAACACTTCGGGTATCTGTGAACGCACCGAAGGCGACAACAGCAAAACGATTACCTCTAATTAATGCTTCATCCAGCGGCAATATTGTATTTCATCGACTGTTTGCTACAATTAAAATATCTTTGCTGCTGCAATGATAATGAGCATGACAGCTAACAACCAGTATTCAAGAGTCTATGGAAATAACTAATAATAATGGATAATTCAGGCTGACAAGCAAATGTTTTTGAGATGGAAATTTATAATAGCAATGCTCTCGGAGGCGATTTTGCCAACGCAAAGGATCACTGAATTGTAATCGTTCTTTGTTTCGAACAAGTGAGATTTCAACAGGATCCGATAAAAAGAAGAAAAATATGTTCAAGCACGTTCCGATGTTGTTAACTCCGAATCTAATCGTATGCTAGCATCAATATCTTCCCAAAAAGTGAACAGAAATGAACACGTGCTTTTGAATCTGTTCATTCGTACCTGTACAGAGTGGATGATTTCGGAGCAGTTAGGAAATCGCTTTTTTTGTTAGATATTTTGATGAACAAATGTGCGTGACAGTCTTCGATAACATTAACGAAACCAATCATTTTTTGCATGGACAATTTAAGTGAACCAACCAACATTCAGTTTTATTGTACAATAACTAGAAACTCACTCGAATCAATTTATTCTCATAATTACAGCATTGTGATAAATTTTCATTCATAATGATGAATGTTCGATGAGAGCACAACGCTGAGTCATTGTAAACTGCAAAAGATTGATGTTTTAAAAGCTTACGAAAACCTTTCTTAAAAATTATTCAAATACGCTCTTCCTATCTAGTATGATCAAAATAATTCGATTGATTATGAATGTTCTTTGCAACTGTATCAATCACTTAGTAAGTCCACCAAGGCAAGTAATATCTGCCCAACTCAGAGGCATCATTTTCCGTGTACATCAATCCATCGTCATCGTCCGGTTGCAGTGCTGTAACAACATCGTCAGTGTATCGTTTGATACCCCTTGTTTTCGTGTTCTCATTTGCTAGGTACAAACGTCCGTTGCGGAGATGTGCCAACGAATGAAAACGTTTCTGCAGTCGAGTGGAAAGCTGAAAGTTCAGTCCATTTATCGCTTCAACTTGTCTCGTGAAAATCTTTTTCATGATTCCAATGAACACATCATTTCTTATCACTGAAACTTCAACTGTCAAATTTGACACTCTTCAGCACTCTTGTAAAAGTCTGGCCACGTCTTCAACACTCTAAGTCACAATTGTTCAATCTGAAAGTGAGGAAATCTTCGAACCTCCGATGAACTCTGTGCGAACTTCTCTGTCCAACATAAAGTAAGCAAGACTGGCACCAACAAGTAAAATTTGACCTTGACCATTGCTCTATAATCTGGAAATCAACAGAAAACATTCATTGAATAAAATCAGTGTATTTTCTCGAACGGATATTCGACAATCGTCATAGTCATTACACTATACTTCATACGATTATCAGGGCTATTTGTTCCGAAACTAAATGAAGCCACTCGGCACTCTGACTCGCAGATCTGTTTGCGGGAAAACAGCGAAATGATGCAGCAGGTATCCTTAGTGATCGTTGAATCAGCAGGTGATTTCGTGACAATACGGCATTTACGTTTGGTAACTGCACGTCCCAACATCGACAGTGGATGGATATAAATAAGTTTTTGCTTCAATGAACATTAATGACTGATATAATAATAAACATCAAGCAACTCTAATGCTGGTTTGGCGATTGTGCTCATTAGTTTAGATCAAACACGACAACTCAGGCAACTATTGTTGTTGGAACGAAAGAAACGCGATAATTACATAAGCGTTTCAGCTTATTTATAATAACTTATTCGCAGTCTTGATTCACATCTCGAACTTTCAGACAATTTCATGAACCTTATAGGTTGTTAAGAAAGATCACTAAAAAGCCAGTCATAGCTCCTAAGTCGCGTTCACATGAACACAATCGAATAAATACAAGTTTTGATAATCATTTGAATATCCTCTTCAAGTGATCGCCGTTTTAACAACACAGTGCGATAGACACAATTCAGCAGAGTGATTGATGTCTCGCCATATCCTTCGAAAATTATTGCATGATAGCATAGCCAAAGCAAAAACGCTGAAGTTATTGCTCATTAATTACTTGATACGGCCTGGCAATAATAGTGCTGCAAACAAGAGAAATGAGATCGAAGGTATAGAAAGGGAAGCTAACTATCAATAAATATTATAGTGCTAATTATCAATTATTCAAGTTGTGCAGTCTTTGTGTGCCTTCTATGAGTTGAGACACGCACCTGGTAATTTAGTGTCAATGCTGAAAGACTGCAAAAGAACCGATGACTGAAAGAGACAAACTGAGCAGAATTTATCTTGCAGTTGGACAGCAGTTGTTTAGACTGAATATTTCACTGAACGAATATCAGCATTTTCATTTCCGCCACATTTATTCCGGCAGATTTTTTGGTTCGGTTTGGCAGATTTAGTCTCGTGCTTAATTTCCGGTAGAGACACCTTCATGAGTCATTTCAAATTTTCATCGAACAAACTCTGTCATCCGCTGAGAATAAGCGACTGATGTTTTTCTGGGAAAATATAGCGTATTATAAATGGAAAGGTGTCACGCGATCACGGGCAAAAACGTTGGAATTTATCCGGTTGAATGCAGCTTAATTAAAGTTTAATCAGTTAGTATTGAGCTGATTAAAAATAAGAAATTTAATTTATCAAACATTAAAGCTTTTTTATTATTTAATTACATTCACCCTCGTCGATCACAAAAACGAACGACACAATTCAAAGGAATTCATTCCGGATGCCCTTTATCAGTATGAACATCAAAATTAATTCTTGATCAGTTTACATTCACTGGTCAACAATTAATTTTGAACCTCACAATCTTTCCGCTCTACTGTCCAAATTCCTTCCTTTAGCCCATTCGTTCAGTCATTTGATGATGATGATTGGGAAGTGTGAAGCCATGATTCATCGATGGATTCGAACGTGTCGAACATGGAAAACTTTGTGCAGTTTTGAAATACACTTCGCCTGTGGTTTCGCAAGTGTAGTGGAGACGGTGAATCGTTCATTGCAATTGTGCGAGAAGCAATTCGAGGGCACATTCAAAGACCTATCTTGAAATTAAGACAGCCATCTCGAATTTGAGATACTATCACGACCGTTGCTCTTCGAGCACCACTTGTAGTTTATCAGTAATTCAGTTCGATAATCGAGCGTTCCAACAATAATCTTGTTGCAAATGAGTATATTGTTGGACTGTGTGCTGAATGACAACAGGGTGCTAAACGAATGTGCTCATGGAAAGGTATTATCGTTCGATGACTCAAAAGTTGGAATCGGCTTGAGATGCCGCCCAAGCTCAGCCTTACGCACTCTATTTCCAAATCAGTGAAGTGCTTCTAAATTCAGTCGAAGCCCCAGTTGAACAACTGGGGCTTCAACGGTTCATTGAACAACCACTTCACTCAAATAAGTTCCATTTCTTTTAATGCTTTTGCTATTTCGACTCAACATATCGATACTCTTCTTGTTTTAGTTAAATTGTCCAATAGTTTCTGTTTGTAGCGTTTGAATGCGAATGGCATTGAATATATATTTCATTTACCATTTTAGGAACTGTTATTTCCTCAGTGGAAACCAGTGAAAAGCAAATAGGAAAAGTGCGGACACTGCTTTAATGTGAACTGATAGCTGCTTTATCTTATGGAAAATCTTCAAACGAAGATGAATAAGATATCAAATGAAATGTTGGATGATCAACTGGCATGTTTCTTTTGATCAATTGTTCTCTTTGACTGGGGCTTCAACTGAATTTAGAAGCACTTTTGTCTGATATGCAGACTATAAAATACATATGAATAATTCATGAAATTAGGTCACAAAAGGTTAATTAAGTCACACATTGTTAATGTTCAAAAGCGAGAGAGAGAGAGCATTCGGCAATATATTTCATCACTGTGTCAAGGTGATATCGGTTATTTCAACCTCAATCGACATCTGGATGTCGATCGAAACGTGAACGAAACTGAACAACAATTCAGCGAACTCTAAAGCTTTGACACACCACTTTGAAAAACCCTTAAAAATGTCAGTGTTTGATTTGATTCTTCGAACAGAAGAGCGCCGACAGTTTAGGCACAAATAATGATTAATGTTGAGTTAATCAGATATTGTAGCATTGTAGCATGCGATACTGTAGCATTCATTCATTATGAATTCATCAACTGCCCAACAAACTGTTTTGGTATCTGCAAGAGATCAGAGTTTGTGCTCGAGACACGTCGCATATAATAGCAATATATGATATACGGCAAAGTCTTCAACAGAATCGCGAGGAAGTGTGAACAATTAATGAATAATAACATGAACTTATCGGCACACATTTCAGAATGACCACAGTCTAAAGACAAGCTCCGTTCAATACGCGATCACATCAAACAGTGCATCGCTTGTGGGCTGATTTGAATGCATTCATTCATATGTGAGCAATGCTTATTATTATTGTCTTATGTTACATGATAATCGGTCCCTTGGTGGGCTACTGCATATCTTGCGCATAAGATTTATTGCGAAAGCGATTGCGAGCCGACGAACTGTTGATCGGAATCTAATGAACTAATCAAATGCGCAATAAGCAAACTCAACTGCCATCGAGTGGTCGAACAGGGAATCGCCAAGTACGCAAACAATAATAATAAATAATGAATGATTCTAATGAAGTATGCGGTTCTCAACGGATCTTAACGGATACTTCCGTTTAATGTTTCAAATGCGCAACGTTAACGATAGAGGAAGTTTGATGAACGCCGCTGATATTATAATATTACGATCGCTAAGGGAAGTAGCTCATAAAACGAGCAGAGGAAATAAATATTTTCTTGGTAGGTCTTCATTCAGTATCGCAGTGCTGTCATCGCCACTCACATCACTTCCTTCTTAGTGACCGTCGAAAGTGACCTATGAAATAGAATACTTGTTATATTCAGTTTTCAACTGAATTTTGATAAACAGAAATATTTCTTCTACGCGATGAAAAAGAACGAAATTTGATAGTGTAAAAGCGGTAAGCATGCGACGACCACGACAAAAATCTGTCTACAAAGCAAAGTTTATGTGAGACGGGGAAAAGGAACTGTCAGCTCGAATACATAAGTACCGATTTGGGATAATGGGACGACTGAAAAATGATAGACCTATTTAAACAGTGAAATGAAGTTCACTTGTTTACTGCAGCAATAGATATATTGCTCGAATGTGAGCTCGGATACATCGACTCGCATTCTATTCAGAACATGAAAGAGCCCAACATTCACTAGGAAGATTGGAACATTTCACAGCTCCTTCACCTCTCTGAACACCGTCGTGAAAGTAATATGATTGATCAGCAGCAGAACTGCAGTGCACTTATTAGGATTTCGTTCATTGCGATATTTCATAATCGAGTTTAAGCCGCATACTCTTAACTTGACTGTGAAAGATCCGGGTGATTTCTAAATTAATCTAATAGTATTTCACGTTCCTTTGAGTCTGACTTAGGTTGATACATTAAAATGCATACATACGCTTTGCTGAAAAAACTTCTCTTTCAAAAGCTATTCATTCATATCTGTTTCTAAATCTTCTCAAATTTGTGCCACAGTTCATCAAGAACTTCACATATTGTGTTTCGCTGAGTGAACATATCAAATCAAGAATGCAGAAATAAGTATAATGAAAATGAGTTCTCAGAATTCATTTTAATACTAAACGTAAATGATATTTCTTGAGTTGATAATGTTTAAAAGCCAGTGGCATCTTAAATGGACTAATAAATAGTAATCTGTTCAATTCAGATAAACCATTTGAACAAAACCGAACCGATTACTCAAGTGAATAAATTCATTTATCGTACAACCACCACAACTATTATAGATCGAGTTTGAACTTCAGAAGCGAATGAACATCTTTCAATCGGCCATACTGAACGCAACTTATCCAGTATTCTTAAAAATCTGTATGGACAACTAAATCATCCCTCCCGCCAATTACGTGCAACCAACGGATCTTTGAGTTGATCCTTGATTCCAATTGGATATTTGAAATAATCGAGAAAAGAGCTTAATGAGACCATTCATGGCTGCCTTGAGAGAATTTAATGACAGGCTTGATTAACGTTAAGAGCTAATGTACCATTCCCCCGAGCATTCTGATATTGACATCGAACGTGATCATTTTATGGTGCTCAGAAATGTTAGCTTAAACAGCGATACGCAGCGAATTAGGGAAAGGATATGTTCTGTGGTTCTTTCGCGATCTATTATTTCTCCGGACTAAGTTGCTTTGTACACACTGCTTTGAATGGAGTATGTACCAATGTCCCTAATATGTCCCATCCTTCATGCACTAATGTCCCCTTCAATCCGTTGGGCAAATGAAATACGCTGTGATGCTGTTGTTCACTGAGCCAATTTCTCATTACAACTTGTTTGAGGTTTCGGGAGTGGGGAGAGGGTGTTAAAGTGATTTTGATGGAAAGGTTATGTTCACTTAATGCAGATATTAGTTGATTCGTCAAATTATTGTATAAGGCAGGGGTTGTCACGTTCGGGTGCCCCTTCACCCCTTTTAATGATCTGGCAGACCGCCGTTACTCTTCCACTCCTGACATAAGAACTGACTATTTCCATGTATAACGTTAGGAACAAAGGAAAAACCGGTTCGGAAATTTCTCATTGGCGTGAAGGAAATTGGTGTCCTCAACCATTATGTTGTTCACTACCGCAACAGATTATGATTGCATGAAAAGCTATTGTCTATGACACGCTCACTTCGAAATAATTTAGATGCATTCTCATTCTTTTCAGATGTGTTCTATTCACTCTCATAGATATTTCATGCATTTATTGTTCTATTGATGAGAATTTAACTTTAATTGTTGTGTGAAATGAATGAGGAATTAGCAGAAGAGAACACTTTTGGTGATAAAAGCTATGAGAGCGATTATAACAGTAAGGAAAAGAATGAAAACCCTATTAAAATGAATGGAAACCCTATGGCCGAGTTAAAAAGCACCATCACATTGGCGTTGAATGAGAAATTAGCAAAAGGGAACATTTCTGGTGATAAAAGGTATAGGAGCGATTGAAACACCTTGGAAAAGAATGAAAACCCTGTTAAAACGAGCCAGTGATACTCAAAAAATGTGAGAATGAAGAGTGTTGCCATTAATTCACATATCCAGGTTACAAAAAACACCACCACAATGGTGTTTCATCATAAAATAACAACTGCAGCAAATACTAATTTCCCGACCTCCTCCATTACCACCTCACACCTCCGAATTACTCAAATTGGGTAATTTCACCCCCTATGAGAACCACTGGTATCAGGAATACATAAAGTGGGTGGGAAATCTTGTTGATGTCTTCAGAAAAAGTTGTCGATTGTCGACATACTGCAGACAATCCATAATTGACTCTAAAAAATTATAAACGTTACGAGAATGAATCTTTCAGAATGATCACAATCCGACCAACTAAAAACCATCTCTCGTATAACGATTCCTTGGAATCATAAGTACTTCTTGGAATGATGAGTGCTTCGGTAATTGGTAAATGGGCTTGCAAATACAGCTATGAGCTTGCATCATCCACTGTTCCATTGCTCATTAGTCGAATAATGTAAACGTATATCAGCATTCATTTAAAAGATTAAAGAAGAGTTTTCTGGACTTTGTTATTTGGTGCAGTGAAGAAGCAGCGAAGCTCAAAAGCTTTCCCACTTATCTGTAACATTTAGCACTAGACAATAATCAATCATCTTCTCACGCGCAACAACAATGATCAATGAATGCATTTCAGTGCTTTTACATGAGAAATCTTCTTAACGATTTCGTTATGAAACTTATCAGCAGCTAATTCCAACAAGATATTGCGCTCGTCACTGTGAATGCATGAGAACGATTTAATGAAGAACGTTTATTTTGTTCAGCTCGATTGAATAAACAAAAAATTGCAACTGGTATTGCATGAATTTTAAAATTTGAAGAAAACATCGTATTATACACTTGATCTATTTTTTTTTCAACAAACAATACTTTAAGTGATCAAATGGCATTTGTTTGGAGAAAAAAGAGTTGCAATATAAGCAGTGATAGAATACCTAACGATAACTTGCCTCGATAAGTGAAATAATGACAATGAAGCAAATAAATAAATAAGTAGATACATTGATCCTTTTGAATAGTTTATATTGAACAGAAAGAAACAGATGTTTTGGATAAATAAAAGCGCCAATATAAATGATCAGAAATCAGCTATAGTTAAAGATATATTCATCGCGCATACGGTACTGCTGTTGTTCCTTTTCAACAAGAGCGTGATAACAGGTGGAATAACGGATGTGGATTTCAATCACTGAATGTACTTATCGAACCATCGCACAATGTTTATCGCGAAGTCCGCTTCCACATCGACTTCTTCGAGTGGATGTGATGAGTCCGGATATGTAAGTACTCTGAAGCAAAAACTTTCCACATCAACTGCTTTTGCGTTTCAGCAGAACTTGTCTAACAATAAGAAAATTCCGTTCATGCCAAGGAATGGAACAAAAGTCGTTTCGCATGAATGATATTTCTATTATCAAGCCAAATTCAATTATCCTAAGAGCATTGCAAAAGAGATAATACTGATTATCGCACTGCAACAGACTCTCAACTCGGTCGATGACACACCTCGTAAACAACTCAGTAAAATTAAGCTCAATTCAACGAATTTCATCTTCAAATTGTTGCCTAAGAAGGCAGCAGAAACCATTTACAAATAGTATGATCAGCAGCAAAGAAAACGAGGGTTCGGCTGAAACACTGATTCACTTAAACGTTTCGTGTGATGATCACTGAAAAAGTAACTGACTTGTTCGGAACACCACGAGCCGCTAAGTTCCTAATAAAAGGGCGATAATGTTTGGCGACACGAAGGTCTTTCTCGCCAATCAATAGTAAATATGGTGTATTCACCTGAAATTCATCATCATCATCATTTTGTGAGAAATCGCTTTTGTGAGAGCACTTCTCATTTCTGTTTTCAGAACACTACTGGATCCGATCGAAAGCAGAATAATTTCATCGGAAATAAGCGATATAAAATCGAAGGATGGGATCAAAAAACCTCTAGATTTGAAAATTATCGAATGCACGGAGATTTGAAAAGAATCATTACAGAACATAAAGTTAGCTGGAGCACTGAACGATGGCAATGATAAAACAAAAATACATTTTCGACGTGAGCTATTGGTGACGATTTATACATGGCATCGCGTTGCTCTTTTGTGGGCATCTTGGTCCAGTCATGATCCACGCCAGTTGCACACACAACTGACCTAAAAGTCAGCGACGACATTTTTGTGGCAATTAAAAACACTGAATAAATTACACATTTCGTATGAAACAACGCCGTAATGATCATTAAAACATACAAAAACTTTGTGTAAACAAAAGTCAGAACTAAACATTCGTTCAAAGGCAACGCAACAGCACTGATAGCATGAATTTCCAATGCATAGGTTAAGAAAAATACAAAGCGATAAGTTTGGACTAGAGAAAACGGACAAAGAAGATCATCACCCAAGCCGTCACCATTTCAATTAGCAAACAAACCGTTCGCATTTTATCAGATGACTTCCGCATCATGGAAAAAAAGAAAAGAAAATTCAGGAACTTACCAATCGGCGATATCGGATATTTCAAACATTGCTGAAAAAAAAACAAGGAATGCATTGAAAGAAATTAGTTCTCAAGCACAAAAAATTTGATATTTCTTTAGAACGATCGACTTTAAAAAACTCGATTAAAATTATTCTCCAACGATAAATTTGCGAATAAGAAATTATCCACTCATTGCATAATATTCAACTTATGATATATCCATCCCAGACGAAATTTTGGAATATTTGAAAGTTATACGAAGTATTGATGTCACTGAAATATCAATTCAAAGAATCTACAAGCTAAGCGTTAAATTAACTCACTGGCAATGCTGAGAACAGGATTCAGAGCAACACAAGCTTTGTAGAAACCCTGCAAAGAACAGTCATAAAATCATCTTCGTTGCAAAACTCCTTGCAACAAACTATCAAATGATGAGTATTACTTTTCTTCAGATGGACGGAAAATTTCTGTTTCAAATGAAAATCAACTCATATAACCAGTTGAATTTGAGCGGTTTATGAAACAACGTCTTGCTGATTCAAAACTTAATCATTTATCACTGCGGTGATGTTTGCAGTTAGTATTTTCAGTAAGTGAGAACAGCGAGCGATTGCACGAGAATGCGTTCAATACATGCGATTATGTCACATACAGGATATTGTCCTATCAGATGACTCGCCAGAAATCCACCATGTGAACCACCGAACAGCGCCACTCTTGATCGATCCAGTCTCGGCTCTTTGTCCAGTACCGTTTGAACCGCATTCTGCAAAACCGAACACTGCACTCGCGTGCTTTTATTTCATCCGACTGTAACCTCAGAATCCCCCTCCATATACGAGAAATGAAATGATCGGAATAGAAACGATGTCTCTACCTGCACATCTGCTACATCCAAATCGCCACAATGACCTGGAAGTGAGCGAACGAAACGATCGCCGAATCCTATCGATCCGTGATAATTGATCGAAAGTAGTGCATAACCAGAGTTTAGCAGTAACACAACATCTCGACGAGGCCAACTGTAATACCAATCCTCTGCTCATACATATTATTTACCACAAAGCAAACATGAAACGCAGGTGAAAAGCAACACTTTTCGATAAACTGAATGCTGTTAGTTCGATTCCATCCAATTCTTTGAAGTAATGTGCTTTCGATGCGCACATCTTGAATAAAACCGAGAACGGCAACGCCAAGAAACTAGTTCGACTCACGAAGCAATCGACAATCCATGTGGTCCTCCATGTGGATTCACAACCAGCGGAATTGAATCACCACCATTATTTGGTACATACAAGAGGCCTTCATATTTTTCGTCATCTGCAATTTCACCATCAATTCAACAAAAAGCAACCGCTGAACTATTACAGGATGAAAAAACACACTCATTGTCAGTGTTTCAACTGTCTGAAATTTCTCTTATCCAGTCAAGATTACTGCAAATGAATTTATTCATTCAAGCAGCAATTGGTGCTCATTGCGCCCATTCGAAAGAACTGAAAATTTCTCAAAAACTGTTCAATACTCATCTAAATGATATACCAGGAGAGACTGTCAACATCAGGATCTGAAACCTTGGAACTGTAAAGATTCTATACTGTATTGATTGTATTTGAACGATTATGAAAATCGCCAGGAAAACTGAACACATCCGAAACACACTGACCCTGCCAACCGAATTCCACAACTTTCCATGAATAATCCAAGAGTTTAAGGCGTACCTCAACCGGCGTACTGCTATTGTCCAATCGTGTCCATAGAATCTTCAAGTAACGATCATTGGATACATATAAGCATGAGGCAGGTGTAGTCGAGCACAAATAATCTAGTTGACACTTCAGTTCATTCTCTTAACTCGTGCTCGAAACTTGCATTTGGATTTGGATATTTTTGAACTTTTCAATTGCTTGCGATTGCTTACATACTTATTCCAAAGAATGTTTTTGAAAAGTTTGTCTGACTGATACTAAAGCGCACAAGCAAAACTATGAGAATTCTTAGGATCAGGAACTAAACCTGATCTTCATTGCCCAACTTCGGTAGATGTCCAACAAGTGCGGCTGGTGGTCGATTTGGTGCACTACAAACCACCAACAAAGTATCGTCCAAAACGTCGAAAAGAGACCAGCTCCCGTGCACATTCACTCAAGATCAATTATACAATTATCATACAATCCCAAAAAAAGCAATAAAAATTGAACACACCAAAAAGGATCTCAACGCATCAAACATACGTACACTCGAATAACCCACTGAATAGTCAACAACAACTGAAGCAATACAGCAATACTATACATCAGTTTAACACAACACAGAGTCAGAATCACATCTACGAAAATCTATAGCCATTTTATCTTCTCCAAGACATTTATGCATTTTATTTAAACAAACACAAGCGATTCCAGCAGTTATCGCTCACTGCACGACTCCTCTGCGATGCACGATGTTAAAGTGTCTATCTTTAAGCATACGATAATCTGTTCAGTGTTATGCTCACAAGCATAAAACAATGACCGTTCAACGTGCTGAACATTCAATACATTTCTCTAATTACACGCTGAAAATCAAAAGCATATGCGATTCTCAACGGCTAACATTGACTCACCAATATTCGAGATTCGACTAACTGTGCCCATATGCGTATCAACAACAACTAACTCCTGAAACGTATCATTCAAAAACGTTCAATCGCTTTTACAATGCTGGCATTTGAACACAAAAAGAGAACGATTCTTCATTCAAACATAATAATAGTGACTAAATGCAAGAAGATAACTATGTTTCAACAAATAATGTCGAAAACTGGTAGCAAATGCTTATTATTGAAACGAGTTCAACCACCAACCAATTTTGAACCCCACGCAGTGGAGACAATAACACGGCGATTGTCTCTAGACCAGCATCTGCTCGGTAATTGTATCATAGAGAAACCAGGAAATGCGTCAGAAGCTGAAACAACAAATAAACGCAAGGATAACATTCAGGATTTATGAGTGAACAGCAAACGACCATCTATTAAAACTTGTTTTCGATAATTTATTGTACTGAATCAACCAGCTCAAAAAATAGCACACAAAAGCACAAAAAATCAAGCCACTCACGTTCTGGCACACTCACTATCGGAACTATTTCCGTGTTGGCTCGATCGTTCCATGTTACCTAAAGCATGGAGAAGGATCAAGACGGTCACTGAATTACCACGAAAAATTCACACAATTCACTCAGCAACCGCTACACTGAAGACAATCCAATAAACTGGTTCTTTCTGTATTTGGAGAAGTATAAAATATGAAAAGTTCACGACAAAATGCTCCAACTGAATCAGCATTAGATATGTGAGCACGAATGTACCACCATACGTACCATACGCATTGAAAACGTTGCATTATGAGGACCATTCGCCGAGCGTTCGAAGTAAATTAACTTTGTGTTATCTGCTGAAAAGGCGATCTCCTCGACAGCCACGTCTTCATCGCTTAACGCTGTTAATTTCGCACTTTCCAGTTCATAGTAATACAGAGTCCCTCTAAAAATCGCTCAGAATCAGACCATATCACATCATTTCAAAACAAATCTGATCTCTCAAAAAGACCAACTTCGGACAGCCAATCGGATGGCTTTTCAAAGGTACAAGCATTATGGTAAATAAGGATAATAATAGTTTTTCACTAAATGACAGATGTTCGACCAATATACAGATTATGGAATAGTGGAAGTAATCACTGCTGATACAAACCTTCGATTATTACAGTAAATCTTTCCGAGTTTGAACGGTTCGTTTTTGATGCCAAAGAAGACAATTCCAGTGTCGTTCGGTGCCCATACACTCTTCAATAATTCATATTAAATGTCACTTTCTTGCTTATATAATGCACAAAGCTCGCAACCACTACAACCATCAACACAGTTATTCACTAATGCTCTGTGCGATTCTTTGACACAACAGAAGATTGATGAAGTCAACTTCTCGCAGTGAGTTGGATCACAACAATAGCAAGGAACTTACATAAGCAGGTGACAGGTTTTCTGGTATTTGGTCTATGACCGTAACACCTCCACTGAGCACATCCATAATGCATATGACAGGTTTACAAGCCTCGAACCTCTGCTCACCCCAGTTCTCGATCAATTCATATTTATCACCCTGTAATGACAACACCACAAATGGTTACTTCGAACACATTATTTGTTAAGAACGTTTTGTTTCATTGTCAAATTTCATTCAGGTGAATTAAGTGATTCTACATGCTTTTCATAAAGATTTGTCTTTTCATCAAAACAAATTAACGCTTTTCGAATATCGAATATTAGCACAAAACTGCAATTATAATCTCTCGTCGCTGTCCACAACATATACAACTGCACTTCATTAAACACGAAAACACTCAAAACACAGAACTCACAACGTTTGATTCAATAATTTTCTCTTCGTTACTCCAATCTAAGTCGGCATCGAAGTATTCAGATTTCTTCGAGAATTTCTCAGCCGTGAACAGTACGTGCCCTTCACCGTTTGACCACTTCAAACCACCGAATTCACCTGAGACAAACAATAATTTTCAAAGTCCGTATTCAAAGACGATTCACTATAGATCATCTGGAATCAAATAACACGCTTCCGAACTGAGGTGAACAAAACAATCATGGAGACGGCATAAGTGACATCTGAGCTAGGGAACAGGTCACTGCGGTTTTCGTCGACTGCTGCGATTTGCTTTCAGATGTAATTGAGGATAACAAACTAACCATTTGAATGCACAACACCGTGTTTCTTTGGAGTTGTGACATCCACACAACACAGTTCGATATGCTCCAAAAGATCGAAAATCTACAATTGCGACACTTACTCGTGCGTACGAAAATCAAATTCTTTCGGCTCAGCTGACGTATGAGCGATTCTCCGCAACAACCAAAAAGTATTACTATGTTGAACAATACGAAAAATTATGCGTGCTCACTTTGATATACTGTTTTTTGTCCTTGCCATCCTTCACCGTTATCAACGTCGCAATTTTGGAATCTGACTTCGAGTAGGCTGTAGCCAACGTCCTAAAGGTTATCACAAATCAAATATTGACTCCATAACGCAAAACACCATTCATCACTCTGTTCTGTGAACGCGATTCGAACTCGCCTCGCCTCTCAGTACAATTGTTACAATGGTTTTGAATTCAGTTCAGTTCAAGTTAATGCGACGCCCGATCCATCAAACTCACTCGAAACTTGTCAGAGGTGATGAAGTCGTTGAGATCAGATCATAAAGATTCGGTTCACCGCTTTTCCTACACAGAATACTCAATCGTTGTGTTTTATGGATCTTTTTCATCTCAACCGCACGACTTGACCAAATGCACGACGCCTGTAATATGACCCACATTCATCGCTCGTTAATGGCAAATTTCGTTTCAGTTTAGCCATGAATTCCCCTCCATTGACAGAAATTCCACAGAACTGAGATCAGATCAAAGTTGAGATCATCACCATGATCAAAGCATGGTGCTAAACAATTAAGTGTTTACTGACAAATGAGTATGGAAAGAACCATGTTCATTCACACAGTTTGACTCTCCGAGATCATACTTATACGATTAGAATGAACAATTATAAGTGGTGCTTGGGCATTTTTAAAGCACTACTGACCTGAGTGAAATCATGTCAATCATTCAGCAATCAGTTAACAATGCTCTTTTATTGAAGTGATGTGATTCATTCTCAGGAATAAGGGGAAATTACTGTTACAGTGACCTAACCTGCACATATTTCGAGCCATTCATATGGTGAAGACGTCCGCTGAGAGCGATTGGTACCTTGAATTGTGCATTCACTTTAGGGCGAATTCACATACGGATATGAATTGAACAGGATGTGGAGTGTGTGTGAAAGTGGAGAGAAATTCAGAATAAATTCAACTGATCTAGTCATTTGGCACCTGAGCAATATCGCCATACAAATCCTTCAACTTCTCGAGACCATGTATTGCGGTTGTAGTGGCATTCATACTGGATCTAAGACGATGCGATAGATATCGAATACCCTCCACCAACAATGTCCTACGTGAAATTCTTGACGCTATTGTATTTCTCTACACTCAAAACCAGTTTCTAAAAGAGTGCTTCAAAGCTGATGCTGATGGTTCAATGGATGAGGTGATTAAAAGTAACTGGGGACCGGTTCAATTATGAAGGTCCGCTTGAAAATCTATCATTGCAATCATCCAACATATTGACTCGATTAATGAGGGAAGTTTAAGAATTGGCTCGAAGAATCCATACTGTTGATGAGGTTAGTGAAAGATGAATGACTCGTGCTGTCACGATGGAATACGTGCTGCTAATTTGTTAGACATTTGTCATGATATAAGACATTTGCGGCAAATGGATCATCCAACAACTGAATGACCACTGAAGCCAGTTCAATCTTCAGTTCATATTTTCGCCACTCGAACGTGTATAAGTCAACTTTTTGAAGCGTTCTTCGGCAAATTTTCCTTATCAGTTACAACCAGTTTTTTTCCAACCACTTGAACAGTTGAACAGCAATGCTAATCGTAAGGGCATCCAATAATATAATAATAATAGTAGTAATCCTACGCAGTAATAGCGCATACGGTAATGATAATCTCTGTGAATGAATGAAAGGCATTGAAAATGAACACAAAATTATGCGAACATGATAAAGATAACATGTTTAATTGCTGTTAATATTGATTACTACAGCGAACGATAACAAATTTATCAGTGATGTAATGCATGTAAGAAAAATAATCACTGAAAGGAAAAATGGTGAACATTTCATGACAGCGATGTTATCAACTAAATTATTATCACTCACAATGGATCTTCCCCATTTTTATTCTAATTACTATTTGCTGCTTTCCTTATATTCACAATCAGACGTACATTCGTGGTGATTGCTTCAAACAGTTCCGAGAAGTTGAAATGCGTTTCTATAATTAATTTACCATCAATCCAAAAATCGTCATTCAAAGGTAACATGAAATCGATGCAAATTCAACGTTAGAATGAGACTTGCTCGATGATTCAACATCGCAAAGAAGAGGAATCATTTCACAGCAATAATAATAATAATAATAATAATAATAATAACAATAACAAAACGCAGCATTCACACTCGAAAAATGATACGACGTTCAAAAATGTTTGCAAAGCTGAACTAACTGACATTGGATGAATAGATCAACTATTCACATGGCATTATCAATCGCTACATAAATCATTGCGAAATAAATAGTGACAGCAATAATGCAAATAATACAACAATGAGAACAATAATTAAAAACATACACAATGATAAAAATACTAAGAACAATAAAAGAATAATAAATGATTCCTGTAATTAATATGAAAACAACAACAACAATAATCATGCGAATAAAAATGATTCAAAACAACAAATTATTCGGTAGTTTGTTTCGGTTCATCAGCTCTGCTACTCACGTCAGCATTCGTCTCTTTCGAGTCGTCTTTGGTGGCTTCTTTGGCCGTCTCATCGTCACCGACCTCTTCACTCAACACAATCGCATCCGTGTCCATCTGCTCCTGATCCACAATCTCATCAACTAACTGCAGTTCCTTCTTCTCCTCGACCACACTGCTACTTCCAGTTGTTGCTTTCGATAACGACTCGCTTTCCTTTGTCTGCAATTACAACTGTCATATACCTATCTCATGAATATTGTCTGTTTATGCAACTAAGTACAGATAATGCAACTTTCATAACGTGTAACTGATTCGGTTTATCACGTTTCGTACCAAATGCCCCAGTCAGTCTTTCCATCCAATAAAAGTTATGAAATTTGTTCATTAAATACCAAAATCCTTCAACTCCTTCCATATCATCAACGGCGTACTGAGAATGTTTTAAATCGAACAGTCCACGACCGTGCAGTTTCATTCCTCAAGCGAACTCCCTCGTACATCAACGGTTACGAACAAATGTTACGAATCGTTGACAAATTCAAAAGAAAAACGCCCCTATAACCACCTTTTCTTTCTTCGACGATTTTTTCTCGTCTTTATCCTCCTTCTTGTCACGTTTACTCGACTCACGTTCCTCGCGATCATCCTCCTTCGTTGACGGCATTATTTTTTCGGCCAGTCCAATCATTCGTTCACCAATTTTACGATATTCTTGAATTGTTGATTTCATCTGCACCGTATCGTCCACAGAATTCTGCAATTTAAAAAATTTCAAAAATTTTCACTCAGATTTTACAGCACTTAAATCCAACTGCAACTGCGTTTGCCCTAGGTTCACTATTATCATTATCGATAATATCACCACAGTCGTTTGCGTAATAATAAAACCAGAACAACCTCTATGCTGCAACGAGTGAACAAAACAAACCTTAAGACATTTCTCAGCATCGTGCAATCTCTTACGATATTTATCCACATCATCTTCCAATCGTTTTTTCTTCTTCTCCAATAGTTGTGAATTCTTTGCACTTTCTTCTGAAACTCAAATTGAAAATCAACGAGTTCGGTGTTTGTACAATACTACTCTCATGCGAATAAGAACCGAACATACTCAATTGTGCTTCGAGCATGTCCACTTTCTGCAGTGCATTATTGCGTTCCGCTTGCATATTATCCGTATTATGGATCATCTGCACAACGTTCATCAACGATCCGTTGAAAAGCACCGTTCCCGAGTCACTCACATCCGGTGTTCCATTCACCTTCATCATGTCTTTGTGTTGCGATGGACTCACCAACGTCCCTGAATCATTCACAAATTGCATTTCAACACACATTCGACCGTGCACCATATCAACGCCTCAGCTTATTTTCTCAAACAAATTCAGTACTATACATCCTGAGGAAGCATCCAATAGTTTTTCCAGAAGAACTTCAAAAAAATTTCTTCAGTCTAGGTAATCAATGAGGCCAGGTGCGAAGTAACCTTTGCAAAGTGCGTCCAAATCAGGCGCATCATCGAGAACACCTGGCTTGTATTGAACAGTGCCATCCTTCGTCAACCAGCTATCTGTTAAATGTCGATAGTTTATCTTTTCATGCGATGATAACTTCTTCAACAGTTTCTGCACATGCGCTCGTGAAACATTCAGACCAATCGACAATAAAATCTCTTCCACATCTTTCTCTATCAAATATCTGTAAAACATCAACCATACAATTTAATGATTCATAAAGTAACCACAAAAATGTACCGCAATTGAGGCCGCAATTTTTTGTACTTCATATGGAGTAACAGCTTACGATTAAAAAACATGTCTACGTTTTTCAAAGTCATGAAAACAAAACTGTCATATTCAGTGCATCATCTCCCTTTATCAGACACAATAAAACTCTATTTGTCGAGATAATTGATGAAATGAGCACTTGACTATAATTCGTTAAAATTCATGACCAAATTACGTCAAATTCCATTCAAAAGAACAGAGTATTCAAGTCGAATCAAAATCAGTACGCCCAATAACCAACCCGCAAAGATTCCTATCGAAATAGCAGAATGCGCTGAATGCAGATCGATTCACCACAATCGCTTTTCGTGGCTCACCGAGTGCCTTTTTACGCTCTTCTTCGCGTTTTTCTTCGTCTTTCTTCTTTTGTTCTTCCGATTTATCGTTACTTTTATCGTCCACTTCTGCAGCGCATAATTTCATAAGTCCAAACAAAAACTAAAAAACAAATCCACACGCACTCAATAATGAATGCCAACTAACTAACGTTCAACACCAAGTACTTCCACAATCTTCGCCTCATTACGACGTTTCTTTTCAGCGTCTTTGTCGAGTGCACAACTTATCGATTTGTACACACCGAATGCATGACTACGATCCAACATCTCCGTAATACACTCCACCATTATCGCTAACTGAAATAATGTATGAATGTAAGAGATTACCTCATTGAATTAAGATTCAATTCAACAAGAATGAAAATGCAATCGAAGTGATATGAAATGAAGATCACCTCGAATGTGTGCTCTTTACAATCGTCGATGCGATAGTCAAGCAGATTGTGCAACGACACCACTTTGCAATCGAATTTACCACCCTTCGCCAGTCTGCTCGGATGCACAAGGATGCCGGTCTCTTTCGGCATTGCGTAATGTCGCTCCAACGATAACTTCTTCTCCTTCTTCTCTTTCTCCTGCAAATACATTCTCAATGCAACAATGACCATACCAATAACGCTTCAATCCGTTTCAGATACACATCTAATTAGTTCAACTCATGAACTTTCGGCTAATATCAGCACCCAAGAAAGCTCGATCTTCTTCGAACTGACAATATTTCCAATAAAAAATTACTGCTGCTTCAGCAGCATATTCACCAATTAATATCAGCATAAATTCAACAAAAGAATATCAAATTCAAGATTTCAACAAAACAGAAATAAACTCAACCTCAAGAACTCTAATAATCACTTTTTACATTCCATGATTTACGTTCACAAATGACAACCTAATGACAATATCAAAAAATCAAAAACTCTACCAGTTTTTCGAGTGCTTTCTTCTCCTCTTCAGTTAATTCTTTCCCTTCTTTTGGTTCTTCTTTAGTTATTGGTTTTTCTTCCTCAACCTGGATCACAATATACAGTTCATTAAAAGGCATATTGCAAGCAAAATCTACTCAACACACAGGAATCAATCTTATTGATGATGCATTTAATAATAGAGATATTCGGAGAGGCGTGAAAATCCATTGAATTTCAAAATATACGTGCGCCATTATTCATTTGGAATGACCGATCGCCGAATACCTTTGTCGACTGACCTTTTCCTTATCCTTTTCTTTTTCCTGTTCCTTCTCTTTTGCAATCTCCTTCTCTTTTTCCTCCTCAACTTTTCCTTCTTCCTTCGCTTTCTCCTCATTCAACGCCGCTTGCAATCGGCCAAACAGCACTGACTTGATGCCTTTCGTTTCCAGATCTCTGGCCATTAACTCTTGCCGTAATTCAGCCACCTACAAATCAACAGTCACATCCCGTCAACTACTGTAAATACGAGCCATGTTCTGAAGTGAACCAACTGCGATTACCTTCATCGTCTTGATGTCAAGCTTTGACCAATGAGTCGGCGTTAAGTCATCCTCATCGTCCTCGTCCTCCTCAGCAGCCACTTCAACCTAAAATACGAACAGTCCTTCTGTTGCTCTCAAAACCTCTATCGCCTGCCATCAACCAAAAACACAAAATTAAAATTTCAACGAAATGAATGAATTAATTGCGTTTGTAAATGATAATATAATAAACAAATGCAACAATTCATATTCATTTTGAATAAACCTCATCGAGACTACTATTATTATTATTATTATCATCACCTACACATACTGCGTCATTAATACCGCTCATTAACACCTTCGAATGGTACCATTCCAATGTAGACAAAATTCCGATAACAGATTCAAATTGATCAATTCAAATTGTTAAATCATTGCAGAAAGTAGAGATTTGGTACAATCCTACCATGCTGACTTGTTGTTGTGACCAAAAAAACTGCTTTGTAAGTGTTGAATTGAAATTTGACTTCATTGTTACCTATCACTAGTTGTTCGTCATCAATGTTGGTGATATTTCAGTATGCATTACATTGCCTAATCGTAAGTAGCTTCAGTGTTCGTTCAAAATCAAGCATATATTCTTTCACATGAAACGAAACGAAATCGCTCTTCTGACACAGTTTGTAAACGTTCCTCTTCAAGGTGATGTGATATTTACATTGCGCGATCAGAATAGCATAAAGTTTGGGTACTTACAGCCTCTCCGAAATACGATTACCCTCAATATACCGTTATCTGTTTTCATATCTAAGCACATAAACGTACACACGAAGAACGCATGACAACAACTGCACAACACTAAACGAAACATGCAAGTGAAGCGTGCTACACGCACAAAAACTCATGACCAACCCACGAAAATTCTCAACTTCTTTCCGTCATGCAATTCAACAATAACACAAAATGGCCAATTCATATGAACCTTCAAAATGCAACAAAATACTGTTAACGAAGAAGCTCAAAACAGCGAAGAACAACAACAAAAATTCTATCAATTCAAAACATTCATCCAATGCATCTCTTCCTGTTGGATGCACTCAATGAACAGGTACCAACTAAACGACGCTTACAAATAATGGTACTATAATTTTGACAAACAAATTGCCTAAATAGCGGACGAATCAGGTTTCTCGATACTCTTTTTCACAGTGGATTAAAATGAATTTTCAAGTGGATTATTCCTTGTTTGTGCATTAAGCAAATGAACAACGATGACGACGACGACAATGCTCAAAGCGTGCTCTCGATATATCAGCAAATACACAATGGATTGTGTCTGTTCGACTGCATCTTCAATCAGAATGTCTGTTCTTGCTCATGCAAATCAACTAATAACTTCTTCATCCTACCGTTAACGAAACACTGCTCAACTCAACGCTTAACACATTAACAACATATACATGCACATGTTTACCAATCCACCCAAATACTGTTCGTATCATTAAAACGGCAAAATAAATTAATGCATAGCAACAAAAAAAGAGAAAGCAAATTTGATGATAAAACAAACAAAAAACGGAAAAATTCGTTTTCGTGTGAATGAAAACAATTAAAGTGGCAAGGAATGACAAGAAGAAGAAGAAAAGCGCATCTGATCATATTTACGAGAGTATTGAGTTGGCGCACCTGCTGCTTGGTAGTCTCAGATGCCTCCCCTGCAGAACCAGTGTCGCCTTGTTGTTGCTGTTGTTGTTGCGGTTGTTGCTGATCACCAGAGCCATTAGTAGCAGCACCATTAGACGTAGCACCTCCTTCAGATGTCGAGACATCCACCGAATCGTCGGCTTGGTTCGACGACGATACGGCCGATGATGATGCAGTTGAAACATCCAGTTTCATCGCTTCTATCGAAGCAATCTTAGTGGCCAGTTGATTCTTAAGAACGGCTAATTGCTCACGATAGCTCGCATCATCTGGCATCAGTGTACTCGTATCGGGCAAAAACAAAACGCTGGTGTCCACCCGCTCTTTATCAGCTCGATGGTACCGTAACTGTGCCATTTTGTACCTGATGTTGCAAGAGATGTAGTAAGTTTGACTTTTGTAAACGCAACAATACCTGCCTTCTCCAGTAGAGCATATCAAACGAGCATATCCTCACGGTACGACCATTACAGGGAAGCATCATTCCGGAGTAGCTGAACAGATCAGATATGGGATGATCACTTACGGCAACCGTTGTCCTGGATGTATCACTGCATCTGAATGCAGCGGCACATATCTCCCTCGATCTTGCTACTGATCCATCCCATATCTCACCCAAACTACTCCGAGATGATTATTCATTAACCCCTCAAAAGAATTAATAATCGTTCGATCCGGATGTCCTTCAAACCGAATGACCAAATGGATACTCGTCGTCAAATTGAAACATCCACCTTTCTCATCAAAAAACATAAAACGTGTGTTAACAATTGTTCTATTAGTGGATATGGAATGTGAACTGGCAGAAGCAAGTAATAGACGCTCTTCGCTTCGTCTTATCTGCTCTGAAATGGAAATAAACCAAAGATTAATTGCGTTGTCCGAAGTGAAGTGCGTTCGTTGCATCGTCAGCATCCTTATCGCATCATTACATTCCAGTGAAACAATTTCGTAAGTAACAGCATTGCAAGCTGTCAACTCGAAACATTACTCGTAATCGCTCTCACAATCAGTCTAACAACTACTCTCAGAAGCTTTTTCATTCACTTCTCCAATTTCATTATCGTCGTGCTTCTTTAACGATCATATGAATTTATTCATTTCCATGTACTTTCTTCTTCATATATAAAACCCAACAATGAACTGATTATATAACTCAGCAGTACCTATGAAATTGTACCTTTTACTCTTTTTTTACTTACATTAAGTATGTGTACGGTCAGATCATTTCACATGACTACACATAGTTTCAATTATAATTGTTTGAATGTACGTAAACACTTAAGACATTGATCTTTAAGCATTTCTATATTCTGAATTCGATATCATTTTTGCATTAAAAGGTAATGCTGCCAAAAAAACCTATTCAACAGAATGTTATTTCAAATCGCAGAAACAATATCCCACTAATGATGTTCTGTCAGCATCTTCAAACGACTCAAAGTAAAAGACTCAAAAAGCACAGTTTATCAACGGGGAATTTTGAAAGAAGAAGCTAGGCTGGAGATTTAAGATATGTCTTGGAATAATACTCTCCTCGTACAACTCTCTCTGTTCGAAAGTCATTCGAATTAATTCACTGCATATGCCATTGATATCAAAAAAAGGTCAGCCCAACACAGTTTTGGTTATTCTATTGACTGATTCATTGCACGTGAAACATGAATACTTCTCAGGTGAATAACGCGTTATATGTCTTAACGAATAATCTCGATCTACACTAACCATTTTGTACACTTTGACAGGTCAACGCCAGTCAGTGCTCGCACCGTACGAATTGCAGTACGTACAAGCACTTGAGGATCACTCTCTGGCTCATCGCCGTCCAATGACTTCGACCATGCCCCTCCCAATGCGGTCATCTCACCTTTGCCTCGCGTTCCTTCAAATTTTTCTTATGCAACAAAGTGAAAACAACAATACCTCACTTAAGTGCGAAATAAATTTCCCTAAAGATGACGATGTTAATTGAAAATGTATAAATATGAGCATTTCTTTGATCCTTATTTATCAGTGAGCAATGTCACACATTTGCTTGCTACCCCAATAATGAACATTTTGAACGAATATTCGACAACAATATCGACTGAAGGAACAACTATCGATAAAAGATGGACACGATACTTGAATATGTCTATCAATCACAAAACTACGTTTCATACGATGCTATGGTTGAAACTGCATAACTAATTAGATGTTCAGAGTATTTTGATCATTATAGGATAATAACAATAACGTTTTTGGAGCATGTCATGCAAATTAAATGAATAAACAACGCACCAACAAGGAAACTGAGACAACGTGATAGAGGTGTTGGATCAGCACCGTCATCCGTTGAACCATCAGCCATTAGTCCGTAGGCTTTCTGTTGAATTGTTGACAAACCTCCATGAGCCAGAAGAATAACCTTGAGACAATATACATTAATCATAATGCCATCACTATCATTCACCAGTTAAAATCATGAATGAAGTGCTTTGTCTTCAAATTAGTCTAATTCTGCTAGAAACCATTTAGCAAATATCATAAGTTTTAGGAATATACAACAAACCGATGATAGTGTTAGAATCGAACATAACATTCTACTAAAAACGAAATATCGAACAAATAGATGAATCACAAACAAGCATCTTCTACCTACCTTAGCACTGAATCTTGAGTCAGCATCTGGCGGTGAGAGGATGATCGGTTCAGAATTAGCTCCTTTCGGCTGATCGACATCTTTGTGCAACACATGAAATATGGTCGGAGTGGTTGAAATTGCAATTGGGTTATCGAGTGGCGTTGTTGCAGTCCATTCGATTGACGCTTCGATGAAGTCCGATGGTATGTAGAGTGATGCGTAACGTCTTCGTAGTTGTATTATACTTTGATTAGTTGTTACACTGCAACCGTTTGCTTTACGCTCAATTCAACAAAAATCAATCTAATACTTATCTCATACGTAGTTATCTAATATATTCAATGTCAAAGCACGAAGTGCTAACTTGGCCATAGCGATGGGCAGCTTGGGTATATGACAGTGGTATCTGGGGATGATGCGTGCACGTCTTCGTGGTGGTGATAGACTGTCACGAATCACGGATTCTTTCTTCATCGAACCACTTGGCGAGGATCGTTCTCGTTTAAGCGAATCGTGCCGACGAGGTGGTGGTGAAGAGTTACGCTTCGACGGTGGCGGAGAACGCATCATACTCGCACTGTTTCGACTGAACTCATTCCGAGAGGGCGGCGGACTTCTGAATTTTTCGCATTGCACAATACATCTTACATTATTTATTGACTTTGGCAAGTAATCGCTACGTTCACAGATCAGTTTCTTTCAATCATTTCAGCAATCATTAACGCTAAACGAGAACTGAACAACTATTAGTACGTCTCATTTTTCATTCCCATCTCATCATCACGTTCTCTAGGACAGTTCTGTTTCAGCAATTCTCAACCGAGCACACTGCCTTATTCGTTCAAGAAGTTTGTATTGATGAACACAATGATTTGCATGAAAACATATTGCTTAAGGAATCTTTAGAGGAAATGAAAACACTTCATAAAGTTGACATAAAGAAGCGAACCTCTTTGGTGTTGAACGTCTGATAAGATTACGCGGAGGAGATGATCGTCTCATCGGCGGACTCATCCGACGACCGCTCTGAATGCTGTCCGGTCCCGGCATCGGTCCACCACGACGAGCCATCTGTGGCGGTGGGGAACGTGACCGTTGCACTATAATCATCGAAATAAACACTTATCTCTCCAATCCAATCATGTTTTCAATTTGTATGCTCATTCATACCGTGATTACTGGATCAATTTCAGCAAATTGAAAGATACATAAGGGGATAGCAAACGTACCAGGACGAGATTCTCTCATATGCGGTTCGCTCGGACGTGATAACGGACTCTGATGTGAACCTTGCATGCTTTTATTGGACCAAGGCGATGCGCCTCCACCACCCGTGCCCATACCTGCACCTCCACCAGCAGCACCCATCGGCGGTGCAGCATTGCCTCTTTGCGATGGCGGCATACTGCCCATCAGTGATGGCTGTTGCTGCTGCTGCTGTTGCATCTGTCTTGAACGTTGCTGCATCTCGAGTGAATGCGCATGAAGATGTGCTGCTTGTTGCTGTTGGTGGGACTGCTGCATCATCTGAGGTGCGGATGGTTTGTCGGGTGACGAGATCAACTGAACACGGAATGCATTCCACTTGAACGGCATCGTCGGATTGTACGACGCCTCCACCATTACACGATCGCCAGTTCGAGGTAACGTTCCTCGCACAACACTTAATCAACTCTTCATTAATCACTGCCATTAATTGCTGCTGCATCACAAATATAGTAGTCAGCAAGCACAGAAACGGTGAAAAGAAAAGTAGATACCTGACTTGGAAGAAGACATCGTCATCAATGAAGCCATAACTGTCATGCATTTTTGTAACAACACCTGAGAATGTTCGATTCTTTTGCTGTGGCTGCTGAAAGTTGTTTGTGCATTGTCCGAACAGAACATTTTTGCTCGAATCAGTTCATATTATTTGTTCATTGCCGAGAAAAACTGGCACTGATATTCAGTGAGTTCATACTCAATTCTTGATGGATGGCTACAATGCGCTCATCACATTCAGTCATCAGTACTTAAGCAGTATAAAGAATGTATCTAACACAAATGCACAAGTGAATCAAATTGTTGAGTATAAAAATGTTCTGAATAAAGCGCTGAAATCTACTCAATATATCTGCATTGATCTCTATTTTGGTGAGCAAATCGCAGTGAAAGTACCGCTAATTGAATAACCTTTTTCTATGAGTGCATTAGCTCAGTGGTTATGAATCTAGTCTTAGGGTAATGAGAGCGACTAAGAACCTGTTGTTGTGTTTGCATGCGGATCGCAGCTTGTTGCGGTGACTGTAACATACTCAGGTTCATGCCGATGCTAGCGGCAGCTTGTTGTGAGAATGCAGCCGCATTGATCATACCTGCCGGCATACCGGCCATTTGCGGCACTCCACCAAATGCTGCCTGACCTCCGATCAACGGACTTTGAAATAGTCCTGCATTCAGTTGCTGCCCTCCTTCAATCACGCAATGTATTAAATTCAACACTCACCATAATTTTAAAACTTCTCAAATGAACCTCTGCTAAAACAGAAAAGAATTTTTCGCGGTTTGTTCGTAAACTGATCACTCGATCAATATCAGATAAATTATGTTTGATCACGTGGACAGAAACGTTAAAAAACATCTGACCCGACAAGTGAACGATGTAACAGTGAAATGTCAAAGACTAACCGGGAGGACGAGCCCATGCAGCTGGATTCTTTGCTCCAAACTGAGACATTGATAACGGGAATCGGAAATTGTGCGACGTTTTACTGAAATAATAAAGTCATAAACGATCAAATGCCCTGTCCGTTATCCCTGATCGATCCGACCAGTTCATACTCCTTAACGTCTTCGCTCATAAATCAATAAACGCTTCGAAATTCCTATTATATTTGGTGGCCACACTGCATGTCTCTATGAGAAATATCCTATCCAGAAAAAACTTTCACAACGTTAAAGAATCAGCGTTAAAATAAGGTCCACCATCAATCCATGAAAATAAACAACACGAATTAGGATAATCTAAAGTGGAGAGTAATATATCGTCGACATATGACAATTAACCATCGATTTGCAAAAAAGAATCAAGCTTCAGAGAAAGAAATGTGAACTTAATCCACTGACAACTCATAATCACATCTGAAAAAGATACAATCAGATATATTATAGCTTGAGAAATCTCGGTCTCGAACTGCCAAAACACTCGTTACAGTTCAATCGCATTGAAAAACTGAATAAGTTGAAGCTGTGAGATTAAGAAATGAATGGAGTACGGAATCTTTGGAGAATAATGACTGAGAGCGAATGGCTAATGTGACTGAAGTGAATGAGAAAATTAGCAAGATATAATGGAAGTGTAATGCAGTAGACAATGTCGGGAATGAGAGTGACGAGACATCTCGGTAATTAGACATAAAAATCACCTATAGACTAAGGGAGGGGAGTTTTATAAAGGGGTACAGAAGGCATGATCCTTTCTGAGTAGCTACTGCCATCAGAAGCTGTTCTCCTGTACTCTACTCATTTGCCATATTCTCTGCTCGGTTTTTACATCTGATTCCCACGATGTCTCATCACTCTCGTACCTATTACTACCTACTGCATTACATTCCCGTTATGATATGTTAATTTTCTCATTCGCGTTTAATGTATCACTGATTCAATCTCATCCCTGATTCTCCCCGCAACCTGAACGTATAATATTTATTCGTCCACCTTAGTACGATTAGTAATGCAAATGATGTATCAAAACGAATTGCCACAACAAGAAATAAACAAAACATTTGATAAACGAATAATCACATATAAGCCATATGATAGTCCGGCTCAGGCTGGGCAACACATCATTAACATCGGCACGGCACTCGGTTTCAAACAAAGTTAACATCGATATAACTCTCTCGAGAACAGAATAAGTCGGCGAATTAATATGCTTATCATACCTATCTATCTCGTTCAAATCTATGAAATAACCTCTGCTATTTCATAAATTGAAGGAAATGACTTTTGCAGGAAATAACTCGAGTATGAAAGAGATAACTTCTGCTGGCGTATTCCGAATGTGCATCAGCACTAAACTTGCTATCTCTTTATGAAAACGTTTCAGAACTATTTGAAGATTTCGCTCATGAAAACATAGTTTTCACATTCTAGAAGTGATTAACTATGCGTTGGATATCAGAAATACCACGACTCTGAAAGGCTGAGGATGCACGTGACAGCTACATAAGTAAGCGGGTAAAGCTGATTATCAATGAATTTGCATGTGAAACTCAAAATCAGATCTGAAATAAGTTCATAAATAAAACGACAAAAATTCCAAAAGCGTATGTCGAACATCGGTTCCTCACGCGATAACAGCAACCACTACAGCTGCGCCACACAGCTGACTTGGCGTTGCAGCTTTATATGTAGTTGACAAAACTGAATTATAAAAAAACTGTCATCTTTTTTCCCCTGTTGTCAGAATTGCGCAACTCTTGCCTGATACTTCATTTAACACAGAAGAAAGGTCTGATTGTGAAGAAATGTATACACGAGAAAGAAGAAAATCGGGAACCTGAACCTAAAGACGTTGCAAAATCATTCTAATTCTAAGGCTAAATCAAAACTGAACTTCGAAACTCTGCCTGTGGCATTACTTAAGCTTACGGCATTACCACCACACGAAAGTGCGCCTTAAACTCCTTAGTGCAATAGAGAAGGCAAAAGTGGATTGTGAAAAGAATTGACTAATTTTCCTCCCCATTCGCTTTGTCTAAGTTGCGGAAATTCCTTCTGTAATAACGCTACCTACAATACCAATGGGCGAAAGTCTTTTCGAAAAAAGGAACCGCAATATATCCAAAGAGAAAGCAAAACCGAAAAAGCAAAATTATTCGATACGAACTACTTTTTTGACGATTTCTCAAACGTTGAGCCACCGTAATCCTGGACACTGATAACGCCTCCTCTATGCTTATGATCGACTGCAGCACAACCTGTCGCATGAAATCGGTTATCAAAATCATACTGAATTCGTAAGTTAGATTCAGAGGGAATCAATTCTTTCAATGACAACGGAGGTTGTTAAATGTCTCTGGGAGCACTAGCAAACGATGTTGAATAAACTGAAGAGAACTTAAGCCAGATAACTCAAGCACGCAGCCTAGATAAGTGTGATCGAACTCTTGAGCAGGCAGCCTGGAGAGGTCTGACCGAAAAAGCATATTTTTTGTGGGTGAGCTCATAACAATCTCAGTCTAGCTGTCACTGAACAGCGCCGCGAGTAGGAATTTATCAAGTCACCCATTAGCGACTCGACTCCACAGAATAAGCTGTACAGGCGATTTTTCCAGACCTGTTGCTCAATTCATAACACATCTTCGTGGTCAACAAATATGAAACTCAATTCTTGTATGAAGTTTTTGAGAGCAAATTTCACCGCTTATCAATCTAAAGCGCAACATTATGATTTGCGTCGGATCCGCAGGACCGCATGGTATAAAGAAATTCATAGGTTACGGAGCAACAGGTCCGGAGCTGAGAGTACGGTAGGCTTGAATATGCCACCCCTACAGCCATGGGGTAGTATTAAGAAAATAGCTATATCTTTCCAAGGAATCCAAATCGCTCAGCAAAATATATGATATTCTGAATCTGGAGCTTTCTCCGGATATAATGGTGCAAAGAAATTTGCGTGTTACCGGGCGAATCCGAGAGTACGGTTCCCTTGAAAAATGTAATTCCCATTGCGCTAGAGCTATGTGTATATTTATCTAAAGTGCTCAGAAGTATATGAACGATGAGAATACGGTAGGCTTTTAGTACGGTAGGATGAGTAAGGTACGATGAGAGTATTGACCATTTTCTGATAGCATCTCATGTAGCTAAGCCGTCCACTTCAATCGTTTTCGTTTGCATTGGTCACTGTGTGCAAAATGTTTGCAATATCTGGATTATCATCTTTAATCTGACAGTACTCTCAAGCTTGCACAGAAGCGTGTCTGTTTTTCTCTACCATTGGATTCGCGACATTCTCTAGCCCGGTTGGGATGGAATATACTTCGATTGTGTCATCGTGAATGTTTTCAGTAGTAGCTTTCATGGTTTAGGTCAACCTTAGGCTTGGCTTCAAGGAGAAACCATCTCAAAAATGCGATACTCACAGTCTGCCGANCCGAAACCATATGTTCGACTGGATGAGTTCACTGCACTAACGGGGAGTTGTTCGATGTTTTTTGTCTTTTCAAAATGTTTCGCTAGTTAAGACTTTATTTGCCCTCAGACTTGCACAAAAACAAGATGCACAACAAGATGACGAGAAAATGTTCTCGAATCAATTGATCGACAAGCATGACATGCCTTCATGCTTCTGTGTGAATGGACGTTGAATGTAACCAGTGAGAAAGAAATAGATCAGTTGAAATGACTGCATGTATCGCATTGATAGGATGCTTATGGATCATGAAGACGTGATACTGATGGACCGTTCAGATGCGATACTGATGCATCATTCAGGTAAGCGCGACCGCGCTACTGGGAATAAATCTAAGAAAATAGTTAAATCTCCTCAAGAAAGCAAAATCGCTCAGCAAGATACATAATAATCTGAATGTAGAGGTTGCTCTGGATCGAATAGTGTAATGAATAGGATACTGATGCATCATTCAGATGCGATGCTGATGAACCGTTCAGATGCGATACTGATAAAAACAGCATTTTGTCGTATACAGTACTGCAGCCCACAATTATGGTCACGACATAAGTCAGTTGAGGTCACCTGTATCCTATGCCTTTTCAGGATCGTATTACATTTTGTTATCGGCCAAACACTTGACGACCTCTAACTTCGGAAAAGTGCACAACTTACCGGTCGAAACTTTGAAGTGCTTCACATATGGCTTCATCAAGGAATAGCATTTTACTCCACATATTGTAATGTCCAAAAGCATGACCACAATGTATATCAGTTGATGTTACCAGTATTCCCAGCAGGTTACTGGTTGCCATTTTTTTACCATTTCGTCTCTTACCTTCCTGTTACTAGCAGGTTACCCTTACCCCCATTTAATCCCAAAATTGGGTGACTAAACCAAATCAACAAACCAATAATTAAATCAGACTTAATAACTAGTTTTAACTCGTCTAAAGCCTGATAAAACGTATTACCGAGCCACTACTGCGAATGCAGAATAAAAATCGATTTGAATGATGAATGATCCATGAATTATTTCCCAAGAAATGTAGTAACAGTAAAAACAAAGAATGAACGTAAGTCAATTGCTGATGATCGTACTTTTTATTAAAAATAACACAGAACAATTCAAATACAATAAAGCACAAAATGAATTTGTGATAATACAAATAATGACGCACACTTAAGGAGCACAAGTTATATTCATTCAGTCAATATAATATAACAAATCAACACGACTGAGTTCATAATGAAACCATCGGTGTCACACGACCAATAACAACGACAACAATACATAATGACGATTAATTTGATGAATTACAGTCAAATAAACGAGATAAGCAATAATGCATCCGAATTTCATCCAATCAAATAGGCCACCACTGAACAGAGAATGCATCAAACTGACGATATTCAATGGAAGTCCTCAGGGAGCGAAATCAACGACATCGAACCTAGGTCCGACACTATGCCCGAAAACAGAATGACTTCAATTAAACATTAATTGCTTGAGGAGGATGAATCAGAAATTTAAACTGGAACAGAAAAAAATTAACGAAAAAAAACAACAGAAACGATCAGCAAAAAGCACTCATTTGATGAAAAATATAGAGAATGAAGATTGAAACTGAATATGAATGAATATCTTATAAGGTAGTTATGTGAAGGTATATTCAAAATAAGAGCAAACTGAGAAGGTAACAATGCAAAATATAAAAACAATCGTCATTTGCGGTATAAAATCACAACCATCCGCAACGGCATTAACCGATCAAGATACTGCTTCCATCATCGATAACAATAACCACATATACCTTTCGCATCAGGCACGCTGTGAAGTAACTTTCCATCTGACAGCTATGGTAAGTAATTCCAAATTTTTTGCAGGATGCCTTGATCCTTAGTCGGTTGTCGTACACCATTTATCTGTGACCAGATGACAATAAGGCTTCATTCAGGCAATAATCACAATATAACCAATTATTAACAAATATTTACAAAATTTTATCAATCTGATAATCACTGGATATCACATATTGACAATCATTTGATTTCACTTATACTCTATATAATACAAAATTTTATAATCAACTGATATTACTCAATTATCGATATAAACTTCACAAAAGACCAGAACGATTTCAACGACGACTGCATTGAAGAGATTACGAGAAGTTGTTTCTGAGAAAAAAATGCTTATGGTGAATAATGACTGAGTGGTATTTGTAGCAAAGAAGAATCACACACGCAAGACTGCAACTGAGTAATTAGATAGAGAACAAACGTTGAACTGATTGTCAGCTGAATTGTAGGCAGCAGAAAGCGATCGCATCGTTGATCGATTCGAGGCGGACGGTCGAAGACGATACGACGAGTTGAAGCTGTCCGAGGGAGATTGCACCGACAAGCTGGTGTTCAGAGGTGCCGACGACAGACGTTTGTCCCGATAGGAACACTCTCGGAATGAAGCGCTTCTCAACGCTGAACGATTCAATGACCTCGGAAGAGCACTACCGCTACGCATTGACGACGATGCATTTTCATCGTCCGGTGATGTTCGCACTGAACTATCCATTTTTGCAATCTCGCCCAAACTTGCCAACTCCTTTAAGTATTCATCAAGAATATATAATTACTTTCATCAAAACGATCAACAACAACCAACTTTTCTATTCAATTACATTTTGTGCACTGAATCTGTGAAATACTCCGGTGATATCATATTCTTTTGCAGTTAAATCCAAATCACAATGATCCCAACTGTACATTTATGCAATAGAGTTAATGAAAGCTGAACGCGTGCAGGTTTGATTCAGACTGATAAATCACACCGAAATGATTTGAACGGATACGGTCTATTCATGGATATCACGTCCATTACTCAACAATTAAAAAGAATCTAAGAGTGCATATTAAAGCAGAATATAACAGAATGAATGAAACAAACGTACGCTTGGATCAATAGGCATAACACCTAATCGCAGACGACCTTCAATAATGTGTCCGTTCCTTGATAATGCTTGCTGTGCATGAACTACTGATGAATAACGAATATATACCCAATTGCCTCGCTCAGCAAACTCAAATTTTATCCTTTGTTATTCCAACTGATAATTATACAAGGGAACAATACACAAGTTTTGCCTATTGATTTCTACATTCGTAACATCCAAACTGTTAACGACTAAGAAATATGTTCACGAAGGATATGCAATTGTGATGACACTGTTAATGCGAAAACTTTCATAATAATCAGAAACTTTCAGATGAAATGACAATACTAACTGTTCATAGCAAATGAATAATAAACAAACAAAACAATCTTACCCGATGTGCAACGATAGTCCCGTGACGTGAGAACAGTTGCAGCACATGAGTAGCATCTTCGGGAGCAAACCCAAACACGGTAACCCAATGCAATTCACCGTCATTGCCATTTTCTCGTGTTCTACAATATCCGAATCAAGATTAATTTCAAGAAAGCATTACACAAATATAACACAAATTTGATTCAATAAAATACCATCTTCCATTATTGGAACAAGAATCACAATATTTCAATAACGATATATCAGAAATCAACAAAACAAATAAAGTAAAAGTCACTAACGGAGATTGCTCCATCGGCACATCAACGCCTGGCACGCCTTCAGAAGTGCCATTGAGAACTGATGAATCCACAGCGGCTGCTCGTAACTCATCTGTTATTGAACGTAACGGTGGACCTGGAATTTGCAATTATTCTTGAATTTTTGATGGATTACTTGCTAGGAATTTTCGATTTCCTCAATGAAGAATCTGATTCCTCATCCAGATACTGAAAGTAAGTGAACCAATTGAACGTTAGGGGAAAAATTTGATGCTCTTCATTAGGATGCAAGAAAATTTGATGGTTCATGTCATACTGTTTGGACTTTATAATCGATGACATCAATTGAGTAGAACAATGAACGGAGTAACAAAATGAAGGGACACTTACCAGATCTGTATGAAGTCGATGAGGCTTGAGATGAATCAAGATTTATGGGAGTTGCACGTGGCGAGACGTTCTCGATGCGTACCAATGCTGGTGACCAATGCACACTTTTACCCACTGTCGACGCTGCTAAAACATTGTCGCACTCATTGCTATCATTAGCCATTCAAATAACTTCATCAAATCTCAATCAATCAAGCTTGATACGCATACCTATAGACATATCGCCGGCTTTTGCCCACGCTCAAACCTCATCTGATAAACTTTCACGTCTAGCGCAACAATATATCAACTCAATATTATTTGCATATGCTACAGTTTACGTATTCTAACTTTCATGCAGTGGTGTTTTGTCTTCCATAAAGTGCATAACAGTCAGGGCACATTAAATCCAAAACATCAAATCGTCAAATATTCAAATGGCACAATTCGTTCACCAATTTGAAGCACTCAAAAAATTAGCATTCCAAATTATTAGCGCAACGGTATGCAAAATTTACGCATTAGACACACTGATTATCCTAATTAATTAAACTTATAATAAATCAAGCTTACGTGTCAAATGGGGTGGAACATTCGATGAGAATATATTGGAATCGTCTCGAGATGGCGTCAATTCATTACCATCTAACCCTTAAATATGAATGAATGGTAAAGATTTGATCATTGCCAGCGTTAACTGATGATAAATTTGGAATTAGTAGAAGAGTTTTGAATCGAATTTGGACATTTACTCTTACAGTTCCCTCGTTTGTAAGACGAAATCGGATGGATATCTGAATGGTGACCATTTCACAGATAAGCAAATGAAAAAGACACCATGATAGTAATGTGATGGAGGAACTGCTAGACTTCGTCGTTTGTTGACCGATCCGAATAAGAAATTCGGTGTTGTTGACTGACGTTGTGACGGATTGATTGAAGACGGATCAGCACTAAATGACCCCATATGAAGATCGGACGTTGGGGAATCGAAGTACATCGATGTGGATGTATCAGCAATACCATTCAGACTTTGCGCATGATGTGAGCCCAGCATTACGCACTACACATTCACCTCAAATATCTTTAATCGTTCATTCGAATTTTAAAATTCATTACAAATCGCGGAATGCTTATCTATTTCAAAAATTCACAATCAAACCAGACTATTAACAAAAACTGATAATTAAAGAACTTCAGGAACAAACATAATTAATCCTCATGCGCTTTTCACTTCCCTTCGTTGCACCGGAATCAACGAAACTCAACAAATCAAAATTTCGCGCTCCGTTTTAAGATGTAAAATTGGCATACACACACTTCGCCAAGCACGAACAGTGTGACAGAGCGCCAAGTGAGGGAAGTGGGATAAGCAAAATCGCTCGGAAAAATATATCATATTCTGAATCTAAAGGTTCCGCTGGAACAACTAGGGTGAAGAAACTCATATTTTCGCAGACAAACCTGAGAGTAGGGTTACCATCTTCATGGTTACCATGAAGATGGTAACCCCCATCGCGCTAGAGTAATGCACATATTTATCTACAGTGATCAGAAGTATATGAACGATGAGAGTACGGTAAGCTCGAAGATGGCACCCCTATATCCTTGAGGTACTATTAAGAAAATAGCTATATCTCCTTAAGTAAGCCAAATTTCATAGCAAAGTGTATGATATTCTGAATGTAGACGTTCTGCTGGATGGAACTATGAAAAGAAATTCATATGTTTCCGGGCAAACCTGAGAAGACGGTTGGTTAGAAGATGGCAACTGGTATATTGCTATGTTAACGTATTGATTGTTCTATAGTGACCAATGAATGTGAATGAGCGTGACTGCGCTAATCGAAACAGATCTAAGAAAATTGCTATATCTCTTCAGCTAAGCAAAATCGCTCAGCAAGATATATAATATTCTAAATGTAGACATTTCGCTCAATCAAATGGTGTAAAGAAATCCATATGTTGCTGGGCAAACTTGAGAGTACGGTAGGCTTGGACATGGCACCCCTATATTCTTGAGGTACTATTAAGAAAATAGCTATATCTCCTTAAGTGAGCCAAATTTCCCAGCAAAATATATGATATTCTGAATGTAGACGTTTCGCTGGATCGAACTATGAAAAGAAATTCGTATGTTTCCGGACAAACTTGAGAAGACGGTTGGTTAGAAGATGGCAACTGGTATATTGCTATATGAACGTATTGATTGCTATATAGTGATCAATGAATGTGAATGAACGCGACTGTGCTGATTGAAACAGATTTAACAAAATTGCTATATCTCCTCAGCTAAGCAGAATCGGTCGGCAAGATATATAATATTCTGAATGTACACATTCCGCTCGATCGAATGGTGTAAAGAAATCCATATGTTACTGGGCAAACTTTGGAGTACGGTTACCCTGAAAATGGTAACCGTATGGAGCTATTGTAACGTATTCTATCTGCACGCTCCTTCAACTCCATACTGTTCTGCTGAGAACTTTCGAACCGTTGGACCCTTAAGACTGTGGTTCTCATGGGAGATAATTTGATGCTGTCTGAAGGTTTTCTTCGCTTTATTATCCTTGATCTGTCTTATTGCAGAAGACTCAGTAAATTCTTTCTTTGGCCATATCAGTTATTGCGGATCCTGAAGGTGTTCAAGATGAAGAAGATATCATTTGGCAGCATCAAGTATTGAAGTGAAGCAATCGTCACTTAACGATCGTGCAGGATGCCTTCGTTCAAAGGCTGAGACACATTTGCTTGTGCCTGTCAATAGCGTTTGAATCACGTGCGTCACTTCAGCGAAATCCGGTTTTTGATGAGTTTGTGGTGTATTGTACGAGTCGTCCATTGAACTGATCACCTAACAGCTGAACACACGCTCGTTATCAGTCTTATCAACAACTTTCAATATTCGATAACTATCATCAGTCTATCAGACTTTAATTACTTTTCAATGTTTTCAAATCGTTCGGTTGATTAATATCCTCACTTCAAGCAAACTATTTCTAATTGCAAAACGTTTACGTCCACCATATCATTGCCAAATGATGTTGAATTGGTCGAGAAAGACGTGGTTCTCAACAGATTTTGGGTTTTCATGTGAGCATGCAAATGCTCACATGAAAACCCAAAACCCAAAACCCAAAACCCAAAAACCCAAAACCCAAACTTGTGCACATTGTGCGTGCTCATTGATTAATTTTTGAATTGCATGTTATGAAAGGTATGCCTGAGGCCAATTCTTTCAGATTCTGCATGAAACTAGGACACAATCAGCAGCAGCAGCAGTAGCTAACAGTATGAAAATTCTTTCAATATAAACGGATATTTGCAATCGCATCATGCGATATTGCTTATTATCGACGAAAATGATAAATCATTTTGGTGAGGAGCACAATAATTCGAATGTAATGAGAACACTATACAAATAAATTGTTGTTTTCAACGGTTTTAGTGTGGGATAATAATTTGAATATCCGATTTTGGGAATATATGCGTACGATTACGGTGAATTGTTAGTGCAGGATAGGTAACACTGAGTGCTGTTATATACCATCGTAATAATCGTCTCAATAAACCGTCATTGATAGCATGAATATTGTTGTTTATTCATGATCATAGTAAATGACCGCCTGTTCATCTAATCATATTCGTTTTGCATTTTGTTTGCTCAAAATTCCAACGCGAAACTAAATTCGCCATTTTCTGATAATAAACGAATAGTCTACAGTTCAGGAGCAGTTGTACTGCAACCAAATTTTGCGTATCAGTAAAATTTCATCAAATCATAACGAATTAAATACAATACTCTGAAATCGCTTCTCTTTCGAATGTTGTTTTGCGCTACAGATTGAGCAAATTGGTTTTGTCCATCGAGGCGATAAGGAAGCAATGAGGTGCTTGGAACTGTGAGTGGAAAAACATTCTTCGGCATGTAAATCTCTAAAATATTCAGACAAATGTTCCAACGTCTTATTTTAAGCAATGCTCTAGCACACAATCGCACTCATTTCTCAACCAAAAAGCTATTCTTTGCTCGTATCGTCTTCGCTACGTTCAGAAATTGTTTTCCTTTTTCTTGATACCCTATTGAAAACATACCAAAAATGCTCTTTCAATAATGGGAAACGTTGCTGAGAGACAAACGTATTTTGTTCGTAAACATGAGCGACAAGTAATTGATAAAGTCTTTAAAGGTACTGATACTTGATGCCTATCGTTAGAAGGTCAAAAATGAAAAGCACGAAAAATGATGGTTTGCTGTACTTTTGTTGCACATCTGAGGGATTTACGGTAGCTGCTCTCAAATTCAATGTCAGATTGGATGTGAAATACGCAGAGTAAACAAATCCGATAATCGTCTTCATTGAATCAATCAAATGATGTCTTTCCTAGGTAAACACTCACGAAATTGTCCAACAAAAAACTCATTAATCATCGACTACTTTATAACTCTTTTTTATTCAGATTTCATTTCTACTGTAATGATGACTTTTTTCACTGTTTTAGGTTTCAACGTTTCAAAACAACAATTCCACATGAAGTGCATGACATATGAGTGACATGAAATCGTTAGATCTGCTTTGTTTTCGTGCGTCAATCTTCCCGCTCTTATACTCGTTCGATTATTCAAAAGTACACTTATGAAAACGATTTACCGAATCATCAACATATTGCCATATAATTCGAAGTGAATGAAACATCAAAATCCCTTCATAAATTCTCATTTAATGTCGTCGCTGATTATTGTTTATGCAACTTATCAGTACTTTGAATCAACCAAAGCAGTTGAACTGCGTTATCGTTCTGTGCTTGATGATTTCGAGGAGCATTCCATTGCGATTGTTCGTTTTGCTCGATACAAGATGATCACTTGAATCATCAGATTAAAGAAATCATTGGGAAGTGTATATAGGTTCGTTTTGCTTGATGCAAGGTGGCCATTCCAGGCCAGATTAATTGTTGTGAAATCATTGCGAAACCTATTTGCTAGTTGCGGTTTGTCGAGAATTATTCAATGTTGCTATTCGACGACTGTCTTCATAACGTGAATTTTGACTCGATGAAAGGGTTCACTAGCAATTGCATGAATTTGTTCGAGCATTTTCCCTTGATCAGGAGTTATTATTATTATCAGTGATCTATTCTGTTATCAACGATCTCTAATTTGAATGCCCAATGATCATTTTTTGCAACTCTATCTTTTGTTTCAATTTAATATGATGCAATTCAATGGTCTTTGTTGATGTTTGAAATAATTTTCCTTACTGAAATATTAAAAACTAGCGTTTTTTAACCGATTTTGTTTATGCATAAGCTCAGAACTGATCGCTTCTTTCCGCACTGAAATTTTCTGCTCTCCATCTAAAGCGTACCAAACAGTGGCTTTGCACCGAAATTATGTTGCTTTCGAATTATGCACCGAATTTGGCTGTCACAACTCTTCCGAACATCAAATTTTGAGTGCGATTGTTGTCTTCAATCACCCGCAAAAACACCCCATTTCATGGTTAAACCATGAATACTCAGCGCTGCGAGTGTTCATGAAATTTCAAATTAACAGAGTAATGATGACAACTGATGAAATTTACTTAAGATATTAGCAAAAAAAGAGGAATCGAAATTGGGTAAAGCCTTCAAAATGATACGGCCACTAATAAACCAAATGGAGAAGGACTCTCAATTAGGTGGCAGTGGCAATTGTTTCACGTTTGCTTTTTCTCAATCATGTTATCAGCACCACTGGTTTGGTCTTTTAAACTGATACTTATTGCTTATCACTAGCATCTCAATTCCGTTAGCATATTTGCATTACATTATTCACTGGCAATCGGCCGCCAATGTTAAAAACAAAACGTTTTTTGAAAGTTCAGCACTGATCTGTCATCGAATTACAAGGTTACTCTCAGTTGTAAGTGATATTCATTCGTGTTGAGGAAGGCTGTTGCACGAATAGATAGATAGGGCGCTGTAGACCGCAACAAGTCTATCGCCCTCATCAATGCCTTCGTGAATCACTTTGAGTGCACACTGTCAGCTGCCTTTACAATCAGCATATCAATTCAGTTC